GGGGCTCCAAAATCACTGCAGATGGTGACTGCAGCCATGAAATTAAAAGATGCTTACTCCTTGGAAGAAAAGTTATGACCAGCCAAGACAGCATATTAAAAAGCAGAGACATTACATTGCCAACAAAGGTCTGTCTAGTCAAGCCTATGGTTTTTCCAGTGGTCATGAAAGGATGTGAGAGTTGGGACTACAAAAAACTGAGTGCCAAAGAATTGATGCTTTTGAACTGTGGTGTTAGAGAAGACTCTTGAGAGTCGCTTGGACTGCAAGGAGATCCAACCAGTCCATCCTAAAGGAGGTCAGTCCTGAGTGTTTATCGGAAGGACTGATGTTGAAGCTGAAGCTCCAATACCTTGGCCACCTGATGCAAAGAACTTTTTCTCATTAGAAAAGACCCTGATGCTGGGAAAGATTGAAGGCGGAAGGAGAAGGGGACGGCAGAGGATGAGATGGTTGGATGGCATCACTGACTCAATGGACATGAATTTGAGTAAACTCTAGGAGTTGGTGATGGACTGGGAAGCCTGTTGTGTTGCAGTCCATGGGGTTGCAAAGAATCAGACATGACTGAGCAACTGAACTGAACTGAACCACATGATCCAATTCCGCTTCTGGGTATTTATGTGAAGAAAACAAAAACACTATCTTGGAAAGATATATGTGCCCCACTCCCCCCCATGTTCACTGTAGTATTATTCTAACAGCCAAAATAAGAAAACAGCCCAAGCACCCACTGATGGATGAATGGTACACAACCTGCACAGTCTGGTCAGTGCTCGTCTCTCCAGCCTTCTCCTCTAGTCTGCCTTTCTCCTGCTGCCTGCACTCCTACCACACAGCACATTCCTTCTGTTCCTCGATCTGGTCAGCATCTGTCACATGCCTCAGAGTGTCTGCATATACTGTTCCCTTCTGCCTAGAATGCTCTGATTTCTAATTTCTGCTTGGATGCTTCTTTCTCATTGTTTCAGTTCCAGAGTCTTCTCTCACCACTCTGGCTAATGCTGCCCTAACTTCTGGGCCAGAGACTCCCAGTTGTCCTCAAAAAACTTCTTCTTCCTCCTGGGCACGTGGCTCCAACTACACTCACTTCCAGTCTCCGCTGTACTAAGACACAGCCGTGCGACTGTTTTGGTCAATGGCAAGTTCCTATAGTACAACCAGATCTGGTCCACAAAATACTTCCCAAGTCCTTCTGCGGGATGCAGCAGACAACTAGGCCCTGGGGATGGGGCAGTCACAAGATGTCAGGAACCCAGGACATGGGAGAGCCGTGCTGCTAACCGGCATGCCCACTCTGGACATTACATAAAAGAGAAACTTCACATTCTTCAAGCTACCATATTTTGGGGGCTCTATCTGTTATCAGTTGGGCCTGCTTAGTACATACACCCCACCCAACAAACAACTATTCTCTATTATACTGTCTTATTTTCTAGTAGTTGCAATTTATATTCACTTGATTCATTTATATGCTGAGTCACTGCAAGCTCTAGGAAGGCAAAGCATGTTTCTTAATCACCAGTGGCTAGCACAGATCATTGGAGAAGGCAATAGCACCCTACTCCAGTACTCTTGCCTGAAAAATCCCATGGGCGGAGGAGCCGGTGGGCTGCAGTCCATGGGGTCGCTAAGAGTCAGACACAACTGAGCCACTTCACTTGGNGCATTGGAGAAGGAAATGGCAACCCACTCCAGTGTTCTTGCCTGGAGAATCCCAGGGACGGGGGAGCCTGGTGGGCTGCCGTCTATGGGGTCGCACAGTCGGACACGACTGAAGCAACTTAGCAGCAGCAGCACAGATCATTCAGTATTTACTTAATGAAAGTGGTCCCAAGAAATACTATTGAAAATAAACCAGAAGAAAAACAGGCAGAAAATTCTCAGAGAATACTAATGGTTCCTAAACTGTGACACTACTAAAATCCATGCATGAGAAGAAATAAACAGAATGTAGCTATACTCTGTCTGATGCTGCGTTTTTCATTTCAGACTGTATCCAAAGGTGATCCCAGCTTCTTAAAACTCAGTTAACTGGCAAGCTAAATTGGTAAAATTACATGGAGAACCATTTGGCAACAGTCATCAAAGTGACAAGCCACATTACTCTCTGACCCAGCAATTCCACATCCAAGAATTTATATCACAGACGCACTGTGTGTGTGTGTGTGGATTATTTATATATGGGGTTATTCATTATAGCATTATTTTGAGTAGTAAATAAGATTGAAAGTAAACTAAATGTCCACTAACAGGGAACTACTGCAATGACTTGTGGACTATCTAACAAAAGAATACTGTGTGGCTATTTAAAACAAAACAAACAGAATGAACAAGTTCTCTATGATACAGCATGAGTTCCATAACATTATCTATTAAAAAAACATATTATAACATGTTAAAGTAAAAAGATGTGAAGCAGTGTGCATGGTATGCTACCTACCACTTGTGTACAAAGGTTAGGTGAAGAATATATATTTGTATTTGCTTGTGAATGTATAAAATATCTCAGAAAGGCTACATAAAACTAATAACATTAATATAGAAATTAGGTGGCTAGAGGACACAGAAGGGGAGACTTCTCATTGAATCCCTGTTTATGTTAACCAATTTTTAAACCATGTGAATGTATCAACTATTTAAAAATTAAATAAAAATGGTTTGAAGCAAATAAGCACAATATTGATTGACTTCTTTAAATATGGGCAGGATGAACACAAATGTCTCATGTTATCCTGGTACAGTTTACGTATTTGCAGTATTAATATAATTGGAAGAATAAAGGGAGGAAAGAAGGTCACTCTGAAGATTAGGGAAAGCCTCTGGTAGTGATATTTAAGATCAGAAGGATATACAGAAGTCACCACAGCTTAGAGGGAGGAAAAGCATATTCCAGGCTGAGCACAGTCCTTGTGAGAACTGTGATGGAGAACGTAAGGTCCAGAAAATGAAAAAAATTCCAGGAAGACCAGAGTGAATGGAGAGGAAGAATGCCTGGGTAGGGGCCAGATCACAGAAACCACTGAAAAAACCACACTGTGCTCAGTCGCGTCTGAATCTGCAACCCCATGGACGGTAGCCCATGAGGCCCCTCTCTCCGTGGGATTCTCCAGACAAGAACACTGGAGGGGTTGCCGTGCCCTCCTCCAGGGCATCTTCCTGACCCAGGGATCAAACCCACGTCTCTTATGTCTCCTGCACTGGCAGGCAGTTCTTTACCACTTGCGCCACCTGGGAAGCCCTCTCAATTTTTTTTAAGTATAAGAGAAAGCCAAAAACTGGTTGAAAGCAGGGGCTGGACCCGGATGAGACTGTTTTAACTGAACGTTTATTTACTTGGCTGACGAAAGAGAGCAGAGGTGAACTGGTGGATGAAACAGATGCTGGAAGACCAGTGAAAAATAATCTTTATAGGAAGATAAGCTAGAGATGCCTGTAGCAAGGAGTGGGGGGAGTGAAGTGGAGAGAACAGAAACACATGTAGGATATTCCGAATCCACACTATTTATCATTTGATTCCATGTCTGGGGGTGAGGGAGAGACTCAAGGATTAACTCCCAGACGTGTAGGACCTAAGCAAATGGGTAAATTCAGGGCCATTCTGTACAAAGAACAGATAAAAGCAGATGCGCCATGGCAGAAGAGGATGTGATGACAGGGATCTGTAGGCTGTGCTGTGCAGACCTCCAGCGCGGCACTGACAGGAGGTGACCAGGGGCTCAGGAGTGAGGCCCAGGTCAGAATCAGGACGTGGAGTGACTGACAGCAAGACGGAAGCTGTGGGCACTGGTAGGCACACATGAGGTCACCCGAGGGCTGTCAGGTGGGAGAGAGGGCACGGAACGTCCACTTTTACCAGCAGGGGGAGAAGAGAAACCAGAAAGGAGGTGACGACGGAAGGGGGCAGGCCGGGCGAAGGGCCTCACTGTGCGCGTGCCCAGGGCAGGTGGAAACCAGAGCCGTGTCACTGCAAGTGAGGACTGGACGGAAAAGTGACCGAGAGCCCGCCCGGCTGCTCAGAACTGACGCCGGTGCCACGACAGGACAGGTGCTCACGCTGGGAGCAGGCTGCCTGGAGCAGCAGAAGGGCTCTCAAAGGGCGAGGAAACAGAGCTCATGGAGAGCAGAACGTGGGGCGGGGAACACACCGGCCAGGGAAGGCCTGCTGAGGTCCAGAGACGCCTGCGGAGGGCCGGGCGCGGCGGGAAGGCGGCGAGCAGAGGTCCCGGGGCGGCAGCGAGCAGCAGAGCGCGGGCGGGAGACAGCGGACGAGCGCCGGCGGAGCCGGTCGAGGTGTCTGGGGACAGGCCGTGAGGCTTCCTTTCTGAAGAGTGCTCCCCACCCAGGGAGGAGTCGGGGAAAACAGAAGAGAGGCTTCTAAGAAGCAGAGAAGAGGCTGAAACAAGTACTGGAGAGAGCGGGAGCGGGAAGAGATGATGTGAGAAGCAGGAGAGCCTGCCCAGCAGGCTGGGGACCAGGAATCAGCGGTGACCATATCCCGACACGCACCTCTCCACCAGCCCAAGGCAGCCCCAGGCCAGCAATGGGGTGACGTTCGTCAGCGTCCACTGTGTTTCTCATTAAACAACAGATTTGCCTCTCATTATAAACATCATTACGCAGTACTCAGGATGAATTAACTTACTCTTTTACAGAGTATTTAAATATTAGTAAATATTTTTATTACTACCATCTGCTTCACCCCGTTAAAAAATTTTACTTCATTAGATCTTGTTTAATCAGTTGAAAAACCAAAAAAACAAAAAAGAAAAAACTTCAAAGCACAAAACAAAACATGGAGCTGAAAAATCAAAGCACAAACTGATCCAGAACCTAGGACCATTGGTGGTGACAGATAACGAGACGAGGGAGAAGCAGTAATTAAGATGATGAGCCGCAGAAAGATCTGAACCCAGGAAGTCACAGTTCCCACTGCAAAACGGAAATCCAAACAGGGTAAGGCTGAAAACGCTACAGAGTAAATGAGATAAACACAAGGGAAAAGCACCTGGAGCAACGGCTCATGTGCGCTCAGTCAATCTTAGCTATTTCTAAATAAGGAGGGAAATGACTGCGAGATTGTGCTGCTTTATGTCAGTCATGTAAGTTGGAGCCCCTTATAGGAGAGGAAGCGACAATCACCCAAAAGACACGGGGCACCCCACACTGCCCCTCGGGCACGGTGGAGGGCGCGCGCGAGGGCGGCTGGGCTCACCTGCGGACTGTGGGTCTCACAGTCCATGGCCTGGACAGCGGCCGTGAAGTGCCCGCCGCTGTGCCGGTGCTGGTGCGTCGGGTCCGACCTGGCTCTCCCACTGTTGCTCGTCCCCGACGATCCACCTGGAGCATCACAACATGACACTACTTGTGAGTGTGAAGTTAGCTGTGTTCAAGTAGATATATCCTAAAACTGTAACATAAAAACTGAAACACCCTCTATTAACCTGAAAGGGCGTCAGAAAAGCACCCAATTCTTTTCTTTCACATCAATCATTGAACTCAAATACGACCAAGTTCAGTTAAGTTGGGTTTTCCAACTCTGTTTCCACCTTAAAAACAATTTAAATATTTGGCTACTAGTTTTTTCCCAAGTAGAATTTATTGTATGCACAGTTAAGTCTTAGAACTTGTGGATTTTTCTACAGGCCCAAAGAATAGACTTAGGAAAAATAATTCCTCTCTTGTTGTTGTTCAGTTGCTAAGTTGTGTCCAACTCTTTGCTTCCCCATGGAGCGCAGCACGCAAGGCTTCCCTGTCCTTCACTATCTCAAGGAGTTTGCTCAAACTCGTGTCCAATAAATCGGTGATGCCATCCAACCATCTCATCCTCTTTTGCCCCCTTCTCCTCATTCTCTCAATCTTTCCCAGAATCAGCATCATTCCAATCAGTCGGCTCTTCGCATCAGGTGGCTAAAGTATTGGAGCTTCAGCATCAGTCCTTACAATGGATATTCACAGTTGATTTCCTTTAGGATTAATGGGTTTGATCTCCTTGCAGTCCAAGGGACTCTCAAGAATCTTCTCCAGCACCACAGTCTGAAAGAATCAATTCTTCAGCACTCAGTCTTCTTTATAGTCCAACTCTCNTCTGGTTCCTCTGCCTTTTCTAAATCTAGCTTGTACATCTGGAAGTTCTTGGTTCACATACTGTTGGGAGTCTAGCTTGGATTTTGAGCATTACCTTGCTAGAATGTGAAATAAGTGCAATTGTTCAGTAGTTTGAACATTCTTTGACACTGCCTTTCTTTGGGATTAGAATGAAAACTGACCTTTTCCAGTCCTGTGGCCACTGTTGAGTTTTCCGAATTTGCTGGCATATTGAGTGCAGCACTTTCACAGCATCATCTTTTAGGATTTGAAATAGCTCTACTGGAACTCCATCACTTTCACTAACTTTGATTGTAGTGATGCTTCCCAAGGTCTACCTGACTTCGCATTCCAGGAGGTCTGGCTCTAGTTGAGTGGTCACACCATCATGGTCATCTGGGTCACTGAGACTTTTTTTGTAGTTTCTCTATGTATTCTTGACACATGTCATTAATCTCTTCTGCTTCTGTTATGTTCTTACTGTTTCTGTCCTCTATCATGCCTATCCTTGCATGAAATGTTCCCTTAATATCTCCAATTTTCTTGAAGACATCTCTAGTCTTTCCCATTCTATCGTTTTCCTCTATTTCTTTGCACTGGTCATCTTTTTTATCTCTCCTTGCTATTCCCTGAAATTCTGCCTTTAGTTGGGTATCTCTCTCCCTTTCTCCTTTGCCTTTCAGTTCTCATCTCACCTATTTGTAAGGCCTCCTCAGACAACCTCTTTGCATTCTTGCACTTCTTTTTCTTGGAGATGGTTTTGATCACTACCTCCTGCACAATGTTACGAACCTCATAAGGTTTATAACTTTGTTAAGAATTCGGCCCATAGTTCTTCAGGCACCCTGTCTATCAGATGTAATCCTTTGAATCTATTTATCACCTCCACTGTATAATCATAAGGAACTTGATTTAGGTCATACCTGAATGGTCCAGTGGTTTTCCCTACTTTCTTCAATTTAAGCCTAAATTTTGCAATAAGGAGTTGATGATCTGAGCCACGGTCAGCTCCAGGTCTTGTTTTTGCTGACTATGGACAGCTTCTCCATCTTTGGCTGCAAAGAATATAATCAACCTGATTTTGGTACTGACCATCTGGTAATGTCCATGTGTAGAGTTGTCTCTTGTGTTGTTGGAAAAACATGTTTGCTATGACCAGCGTGTTCTTTTGGCAAAACTGTTGGCCTTTGCCATGCTTCATTTTGTATTCCTAAGTCAAACTTGCCTGTTATTCCAGGTGTCTCTTGATTTTCTACTTTTGATTCCAATCCCATGATGAAAAGGACATCTTTTTTAGGTGTTAGTTCTAGAAGGTCTTGTAAGTCTTCAGAGAACTGTTCAACTTCAGCTTCTTTGGCATTAGGGGTTTGAGGCATAGATTTGGATTACTGTGATACTGAATGGTGTGCCTTGGAAACAAACAGAGATCATTCTGTCATTTTTGAGACTGCATCCCAGTACTGCATTTGGGGCTCTTCTGTTGACTATGAGGGCCATTCCATTTCTTCTAAGAGATTCTTGCCCACAGTAGTAAATACAACGGTCATCTGAATTAAATTCTCTCATTCTGGTCCATTTTAGTTCACTGATTCCTATTAAGTCGATATTCACTCTTGTTACCTCCTACTTGACCACATCCAATTTACTCTGATTCATGGTCCTAACACTCCAGGTTCTATGCAGTGCTGCTCTTTACAGCATCAGACTTTACTTCCATCACCAAACACACCCACAACAGGGTGAGGTTTCTGCTGTGGCCCAGCCCCTTCATTCTTTCTGGAGTTATCTTTCCTCTCGTCACCACAGCAGCACACTGGATGCCTACTGACTTGGGGCGGGGGGGGCGCCCCTCATGTCTCAGTGTCACGTATCTCTTCCTTTTCATACTGTTTATGGGGTTCTCAAGGCAAGAATACTGGCGTGGTTTGTCCTTCCTTTCTCCGGTGGACCGCATTTTGTCAGAATGCGGGTGCCCCGTGACCCGTCCAATCTGGGGGCACTCCACAGCAAGGCTCATAGCTTCCTGAGTTACACAAGAGTGTGATTCAGGTGATCATTTTGGTTAGTTTTTTCTGATTGTGGGTTTTTGTTCTGGAGGCTGTGGAATTGTAGTTCTTGCTTCTTCTGTTTGCCCTCTGATGGATTCCTCCTTACCCATTAACAAACTTTAAAAACACATGAAATGACCCCCACTTTGTAAAGAAAAGAGCACATGTTTAAAAGCCTAGATAGTATCAGAACAACAGACCTGAGCTTGACGACGTACTGGAGGTGGTGCCCGAAGACTGTGACTGCTCCATAGCAGGACTCGTGGATACACTATTACTTGTGTTTGTACCTTCATCAGCTGTTTTCTTGAAAAAACTGTGCTGCAGGGCATAGTAAGGTTGAATTCGAGATTTGGGGTCATAATCAAGCATCCTTAAAATGAGGTCTTTGAACTTCAAGTAGTCAGCTACTGTATGACCCGATTCCCCAGCACGGCGCCCACCAGGTCCTCCTGTTTCTACTCCGAGAATATTATGAAGTTTACGCGTTCCTGGTGGTTTGTACTCCTACAGAGAAAAAAGACAGAAAAGGGGGGGTCTCTAAATTTGGTGGAATATGTAAAAGCCTACATAACGTAACATCAAATAAGCTTACTTATAGGATAATGCTGAGACCTTTGTTAAAAGGAGTGTTTTATGGTTTGCTCTTCTAGCTTTTCACATATACTATTCTGAAAGTGCTGCAATTAAGAGAAATTCAAAATTACTCCGAGCAGAATGACTATAAAGATCATCTAGTGGAGGAATCAGCAAACTATGCCCTGTTTCAGAGCCTATTTTATATAAACAGCCCCTACAATGAATGGTTTTACATTTTTAAAAAGATGGTAAAAACAAACAGAACCAAGTAAGAATATGCAACAAAATCTTTACTCTGTGGTCCTTGACAAAGGAAGTATACCAACCAGTGGCCACGAACCTCTTTTCTGCCCGATACACCTGTGAACTCAGGTGCACTTCCTAGGTAACAGTGGCTCATTAAAGCTTTAACCATCACTCCTAATAAAGAACCATGGGTTTAACACTGTACCTTGCGCTTATATTCAGATAAAAAAAAAATTGAAAGCAAATTATTTATGCTTCACTTTAGAAAATACATTTAATAAACTGCCTTTAACATGTGCTGACATTTTCGGGAAACTCATTTTAACAGGTAATCTTTAAAATCCCTATGAACACTGAATTTATTCAGTATAGTATTAGTGTATTTTGCTTCTAGGTACAATGTAGCAATTTGTAAGAGACCATTACTCTTACTTCAAAATCAAGAACAAGCCAGGTAGGCAAACCACAAAATCACTGCCTATCTATCAGGGACCTGGTGGTCTAGTGGTTAAGAACCCGCCTTGTGGTTCAGGAAACGCGGATTCCCGGCCTGGTCGGGGCACTAACCCCCACACGCCACAGAGCAGCTGAGCCCACGCGCCACAACTGCTGTCCTCACGTCCAGGCGCTCGAGTGAGGCTACAGAAGGTCCCTCACGAGGCAGCAAAGACCCCCACGTGCTGCCACTGAGACCTGGGGCAACCGAATTAATCAGAAAAGGAACCTATCAGAGTGCAGAGGATTAAAGAAACCAGAGCTAACTAAACTCTGCAAAGTGAAAAGCCTTTCCTAGGAAAGAAGAGACTACAGTGGGAGAAGGAACGAAAGCCACGGATGTGAGCAGGGAGAATCCAGCCCAACTCCAAACCAACTGCGGACAGCTACGAGTGGCTGGGCCTAAGGGTGGGACAGGCAGACGGCCCAGGGAGGACCCCCCCAGGGAGGACCCCAGGGTTGCAAAGCTGGAGCCAGGGTAGCAGTGTGAACACAGATCACCCTGAGGCCCAGAACATTAGAAGTGGGCTGCTGGCTAGGCATAAAATATAAAAGATCTCCCCAGTCTCCAAACACTGCTTAAAACCTATGAAGACAGTGGAGAACAGAATCTAAGTCAAGCAAACAAACAATACAGAGCCCAGACTCAGCTGCACTGCACAACGAAACCAACTAAGTCTCATCACACCAGCAGACTGACAGAGGAGGAGCCATGTCTCAGTCCATAGAAAAGTAAGACTTACTTCTACCTCGACTGTTCTTAAATGCAGGAAGTTCAGCATACATTTAAAAAATTACAGACACAAGAAACAAACCAAAAAGCGGGTCCATATTAAGTGGGAAAAAAAATTTGTAGAAAATCCACATATATAAAATAACCCAAATGTTGAAAGTGGCAGATAAGTATTTTAAAAATAACTATAATTTTTAAAAAACTTAGTTCAAAAGCTAGACAACAGGTGTGAATAGACTGGGGAAGGTGGGTAATTAAAACTAATTTTTAAAGACAAATTAAAATGTGAAAACACTACAACTAAAAAATGCAGTATCATAAATGAAAAATCCACTTAATGATCTTAACAGCAGACTGGGCTCAACCAAGGAAAACAATGACTGAACTAGAGACAAAGAAATGATTCAAACTAACATACAAAAAGAAAACAAGATGAATAAACTAGAGACCTCTAAGATGGTATTATGCACCATAACATATATTTAAGTAGATAATTACCAGAAGAGGAGGAAGCTGAAGCAGAACAAATATTTGAAAGGATAATGTCTGAGGATTTTGATGAAAAATATCAACCCCACAGATCTAACAAATTCAGCACACTCCACGGAAAATAAATACAGAGAAAACTATGCACAAGAACCTAACAGTCAAACTGCTGAAAAATCAAACATATTTAAAAAAAAAAAAAAAAAGGCATCAAAGTCGGCCAGGGGGAAGAGAGAGAAATATTTTATAAAGAAAACACTGCTTAAAATGAATAATAATAGTCCTTGCCCTGCAGAAGAAGTAGTACAAAAAGAGTTGGGGGGGTTGGGGTGAGGGAGGGAATAAAAAAAGAAAAAGAAACACTACTTAGGAAAATCAATGACTTCTCAGAAACAATGTAATACAGAAAACAATGTCATAACATCATTTTCTTCAGCTGAAATGTAAACCTAAAATTCTATATCCACTGAAATTTCCATATCCATGAAAAATCTTTTCAACAATAAAGGTGAATAAAGGTATTTTCAGATAAACAACTGTGGAAAAGAATTCATCAGCAGAAGTTACTGACTACAAAATAAAAACGTTAAAGGAAGTTCTTCAGGCTGAAGGAACGTAATACCAGATGGAACTTAGGAACAACAAGAAATGAAGAACTCTATGGGTAAAAAGAACTTGTGTGTGTGTGTGTGTGGCGGGGCTGGAGGGGTCCTGGCCCACAATGCATGTCTTGTAGGATCTTACAATTCCCTGACAAGGGATTGAACCTGGGGCCATGCCAGCGAAAGCTCAAAGTCCTAACCACTGGACTGTCAAGGAACTCCTGAAAAGAACTTGTTGCTATCTTTATCTTTCATGTGTCTTAAAATCTCTTCTAAATGTCGTTTAGTTGTGTTGTGAGGTATGTAATGCACGAATGAGTGATACATGATGACAAAAGATGGAAGGCATTAGATAAAAGCACATGGTTATCACACAGCTTATAAAGTTATGTAACACTTTGTTAAGGTCAACTGGTAAGTTAGAGGCATATAATAAGAGCAACCCTAACAATTACACAAAGAGGAATAGCTATAAAGTCAGGAAGAAAAGATGAAATAAAACACCAAAAGTACTCAACTCCAAAGAAGGCAAGAAAGAAGTAGTGGGAAACAAACAACAGATAGAGAAACACACATGGCAAAAGTCTAAAACCCAATCCTCTGAGTAACTAGGGACCAAATAATTCATTGTGAAAGAAAGATACTATTCAACTGGATTAAAAAGCATAACTCAACTACATTCTGTATTTAAAAATCATATTTTACATACAAAAGTATGAACAGGTTTATACTAACAAGGATTTTAAAAAATATTATGAAAGTATTAAGAATTAGAAAACTGGTATAGCTTGAATAATATCAAAGTAAACACAAGAAAATATTAAAGACAGAAAGGAACATTTCATGGTGATGAAAGACTGAATTTATCACCATGTTCTAACAATACTAAATGGGTACACCTATTAAAGAGAGCTTCAAAAACCAGAAAACTGAAAGAAGATTAAGACAAATCCAACATCATCATGAAAGATGAACACTTCTCCCAGTTATTGATAAAATATACACAGACACACATAAAGTAAGGATGCAAAGACTCCCCAACAAAAGACCAACAAGCACATGAAAAGATGTTCAATGTCACTTTAATTATTAGAGAAATGCAAATCAAAACTATGATGAAGTACCACCTCCCGCTGCTCACAATGGCCATCACGGAAAAGTCTATACATGATAAATACCGGAGAGGAGAAAAGAGAATCCGCCTCCAGAGTTAGTGGGGCTGTAACCTGGTGCAGCCACTATGGGGAGAGTATGGAGGTTCCTTAAGAAACTAAAAACAGAGTTACCATATCATACTGCAACCCCGTTCCTAGGCAAATATCCAGAAAAAAACTAATTGAAAAAGATAAACGCACCCCAATGTTCACTGCAGACCTATTTATAATAGCCAAGACATGGAAGGAACCTGAGTGTCCATCGACAGTTGACTTAGATAAAGAAGATGTGGTGGTGGTGTTTCACACACATACAGTGAAATATTACTCAGTGATATAAAAGAATGAAATAATGCCATTTGCAGCAACATGGATGGACCTAGATCTGATCATACTGCGTGAAATTATTTCAAATAGATTACTCATAAGTGAAATCTAAAAAAGATACAAATGAATTTATTTTCAAAACAGAAACAGACCCACAGACACAGAAAACAAATTTATGGTTACCAAAGGGAAAGGGGATATGGGAGGGCTAAACTAGGAATAAAAGATACACACCACTAAATATAAAATAGATAACCAACAAGGACCTACTGAATAGCACATGGTATACTATGCTCAGCTTTGTAATAACCTATAAGGGAAAAGAATCCGTGTGTGTATTTATATATAACTGAATCATTGTGCTGTACATCTGAAACTAATACAATACTGTAAATCAACTACATACATTTCAAGTTAAAACTTTTAAAGGAGAGTATCTTCACAAACTTGAGGGAGGTAAAGATTTCTTAGAATTAAAAAAATACTGTTCATACAAAAATTAAGTTTTTGTTTATTAAAAACGGCTACTAAGAAAAGAAGTAGACAGACCAGAGTCTGGGGATAAATACTGGCACACAGGTCACAGAGGACTGACGTCCACTATATTAAAAACTTCCACAGCCCAATAATCACACATCCCGATAACAAATGGGTAAAAGACTAGCAAGATGGTCACCAAAGAAGATACGTGAATGGCTACTGAGCACATGAAAAGGCGGCCAGGCCAACATTCTCAATCAGGAAGAAGTCAAATGAAAACCACTACATACCCATTAGAATGGCTAAACTCACATGAAATGGCGAGGATGTCATGCAATTGGAGCTCTCATAACCTTGTGACAAAATGACAGAACCTTGGGAAACTGGTATTTTCTTAAGAAAGAAAATACACAAGACACCCTATGATCTGGCAATTATAAGTAGTGACCCCAGAAAAACAAAAACTTATGTGTACAGAAATTGATACAAAATGTTCCCAGTAGCCTTATTGCTAACAGTCCTAAACTAGAAGCAACCCAAACATCCAATGACAGGTAAATACAGATCAATTATGGTATTTCCGTTCAACTAAGGACTGTGAAGCAATAAAATGGAGTGATTTCTGAGACACGCTATAGAGAAATCTCCAAAAATAATGTCTGTTACATGAAAGAAACAAAATAATAAATACTTCAGGATTCCACTTATATGAATTTTGCCTATGAATAGTCAAAACTAACCTAGGATGACAGAAATCAGAAACTGAGAGTGGATGACAGAGGTGATGGGAGTAGTCTACATCATGTTTTAGGCAGTGGATATACTGTTGTAAATAAAAATTAAAACACAACAAAGTGAAAACTTAAAATACCCATCTTGTACATAAATTATACTTCAACAAAAAAGTATCATTTATAATCTTAATTCTTCACCCTCTCCCACCAAAGGAAAAAAAATAGCCAGTAGGTATGGATCTCATTACTAGGAAGCCGAAATGGGCTCTTGAAACAAAATGAGAACTTAAAAGTAAAAATAAAATCACTAAAGAAATAAGCTCAGGAAGTATACCCAAAGACAGTACATGCACATCTCTTCATATTCATGGTTAAAATCCCTAGTGCATCTTCATAATGTAACCATTTGGTTACAGATTTGACTTTTTTTTTTTGGTTGCTGGAAATTTATTTCTGTTTAAAAAGGAGTAATTATTTTACATTTTTAAAAATAAATTTCTTAAGTCAGTCGCTTAATTGTAGCTTAGGAAAATCTCATGAAATCTACAGTTAATTAATGTATATTAAACATAGGTCAAGATACTTTCAATTTTAAGGGAAAAAATAATCTACTCTTCTGAGTGAAACACTCCCCTCAAATAATTTAAAATAATAATAATTATAGTTCAATTTTGGGAAAATGATAGGTTACAGTCCATTGTGACTTAACTGTGGTTTTATAAGGCAGAGATTGAGGAAATGAATAAATGTTCCATTTACAAAAAGAAAAAAAACTTTTAGCAGAAGAAGAAAAAAAGACTTCCAACTGGAAAAAGTAGTAGTAGTATGTAACAGAGAGAAAGAAAAATGTAAAGCAGGCATCATATACTCCATGCTAATTAAAAATGAACTGTAAGAGCTGCTCTGAACGCTGGTGAAGCTAAGAAGGACGCCCCTGGGGAGAGGGGCCATGGCTGCTGGAGGCGCGTGGACAGAGGAGAAGGACCCAGGCTGTGTGCTTGGTGGTTTCCGTCCCGTCCTTCGGGAGCAGGCGTAACTGAGCTGCCGGCTACTGCGCTGCCTCAGGCTTAAGAGAGCGAGGCAGAGCGCAGCCAGTTACAGATCAGCTGTGAGAGACACAGCTTCACATGTATATATATTCTTATCAAAAACCACCTGACATCAGAAGTTAAGGCTCCAGAGCTGAAGGTGAATTACAGCAAATAAGCATCACCTTCAGTTCACTGGAAATGACACCTGGTGGCAGTGTCGCTAAAATGCAAGGGCAAAATAAAAACTGTAGCAAAAATAAAATTTCTTGCGTGTTAAAATGCAGAACTACAATCATAAAGTGTCTGGTGTATGTATCACACACAATCATATATTTATACAGTATATTCATCTAATACTAGAAACAATCCAGATGACAAAACATATGATTATTTTCAGATATATAAAACAAAGATGTAAATCAAGATGCAAAATTGTCACCATTTATTCTACTAAACTGACATGGTTTATTTTAGATGCCTGAAAAGTTCTCAGATAAGAGAAAATTACTAAAACATATCCAACACATTAAAACCCTCACTTTGAAAGATTCTGGAGATGTGGAATCCCCGTTATCCAAGCTAAGAAACTGAAATCTACCAAAGGACCATCCAGTCAGTTCAGGTTCTTGTCACAAACTGCTTAAGTCAGAAATCTTTCCTCTCATCTGAACTACAAAAAAAGGCCATTCACTCAGTTATGACTTCTACTGCTCCCAGCTGCAGCACTCTTAGCTGCGGTTTCAATGTATGCCCAAACCAGGAGAAACCAGGAGAAAGGTCAAACTGACTTGACTCTACTGTGGAAACAAGACATGGTGATTTGATCAGCAGTCTCAAAAGGCAGGCAGACAGTTTCAAAATGAAGACTTAGAGAGACTACTGAGCATTAACCAAACATTGTTCAGGTCATACAGATAGCTCAGGTCAAGCTAAAACCAGCTTGTGAAGAAAATCTATACCCGAGTCTTCAACAGAACTACTGTTAACAGCCGACTTCAGTAACACTGATTTCAAATAAATTAAAAAATGTGTTATAAAGACAATCAGTGAAAGTAACAAAGGCTCAAAAATATTATTTCCCTGCTTAAAAATTCAGCATATAAAAGGCTGAGTGAGGAGTATTTGGAACTGGAACTACATAGAGTTCTATCAGATGGAAAATTACTTATAAAACTAAGATAAAACAGAGAACTAATCATGCTCTACTTCATATTTACTGAAAGTAGGCAGAGTAGAAACTTTTATGTCAAAGAGCTCCAATTTTGGCTTACTGAACTGTCAAACTACATTATGCTGAAGTTATCACAAATTGTTCATATTCTTCATATCCTTTTGAATATCAGCAGAAGCTGAAGAAAAACTCCATGGCTGTGTCTTTATAACAGTCAATAAAGTGAAGAAAATTAGACCCTAAGTTGTGATTATCTCAACACTTGACTTGTCCCCTCAGATTGCAAAGGAGGAACAAAATATTCTTAAAGAATATTGATGCCATACTCAGCAGTGAGCTTTTATATCCATTTTGGGAAATCTCCATAATTTTCAATTTATAAACTTTTTAAGACCTTCCTGCATTCATTCCTTGTGTGTGACTTGAGTGATATTATCAATGTTTTTGTAAATATTTACTGTTTTTCTATTTAGCTTAATTCCAACTATTTTGTACTTTAATAAAATGTTGTAAACATTGAAAAAAAAAAAAATTATTTCCCTATTTTACCCGTTTTCCGTCTTTGGTCTTCTTTAAGTTCCAAGTGCCATCTGGCAACTTCTCAAAGAACTTTCTTGCTTTTGGTGCTTGGTCAAGAATATGAGCAGGCGGAATACCCAGAACTTCCACTATTTTATTCATCTGATCTACCTGTATTAAAAACGAAAAGAAAAAAAACCTATAATTTCTACTGTAAAACATCCTACATCTGCTCATCCATTCACAAATGATAAAGAGAGTTTCTCCTGTGTGTCAGGCACTCCTGTGGGCAGTAAATACACAATAATGAACAAAAGAGATAACGCCCCTACCTGCCCAAGTCCCACATTTCACAGAGGGGAGGGCAGATGATTCAGCAAACACATACATACATCTATGGGATGGCAGGTGATCATGGGTACAATGGAAGACAAGGAATGACTGGGATTGCGAAGTTAAAGTTTGGGGAGAATGGGGAAAAAAAAAAAATGAAAGGCTTAATAAAGTGTGGACCCAATAAAAAAAGTATCTTTTAAGGTGCAAATTTATTCACTAAAAAACCCGGACGTCTACTATATGCTAGAAACCATGTCCCCTGGAATAAAGACAAAAATCTTTGCCAGCAGTTTATGTTACAGGGGAAGAGATCATCAAGGAACACACACATAATCAGATCTATCAGCTACTAACTAAGAACGGGAGAAAATTAAAAGGACGTGAGAGCGAGGGGGGCACTGCAACTTAAAACAGGGTGTCGTGAAAGGCTTCACAAGCAGGTGACAGGAGAGAAAAGCGAGGGCCAGAGTAAAAGCCCCCAGGCACGAACGTGTGGGCCCTCTGGCCTCCGAGGGACCTGAGGGGGGCTGTGTGCTGGGGGGACTGGGCAGGGAGATGGACAGAGGGACAGGCGGAGAGAGGTCGGGAGGCAGAGAGAGGGAGGGGCTTCCCAGCTACTCAAAGGGTTCTGGCTTCACCATGCGTGAGACAGCAGACACTGAAGCTTCACAGGTGATCTTAATGGTGCTTAAGTCCATGAAAAAGGTACTATTACCTTTATATTACTTATTATTCAAAGAAAAACAAATGCACACTACAGCAATTACTGCCAGCCAAAGAGCAGCTCACTGGCAAGAGTGAAATGAGCTAGCAGGAAGGAGGAAGGGACAGGTTTCTGACACTACTTGACTGATGTGTCATGAAATTTCATTAGCCTTTCTTTTCTCATGTATAAATGAATGGACTGATCATGATCTGCAATGGTTAATTTTTCTTTAAAAACAAAACAAACAAAAAAACTCCACAAACAGTTTTAAAGACAATGAAAGCTGTTCCTCCAACTGTACAGAGCTTAGACGCCCCCCTCTCCCTTGCCCTCACCTTCCCGCCACTGCCTCTGACCTCCAAAGATCTTCTAAGAATACAGACCGAACACCTGTTGACTAGAAGAATTACGCTTCGTCTGCAGCTCCAAAATTCTGGAGTCCTAATTTACCCTAAATTATTCAGATCAAATGTATCTATCAATCCCACTGGTCATCATTTACTAATACTTTAATCCCACATCATACTCTCAAAATTTACAGTTTTTAGGATCGTTCCTCATTTCATCACTATCATCTTTTTCTGTTATTATACTTAAAATCTGTAAAATTTATAGCAAAAGACTTAACATTTTCTACTGTAATTTACTATTCCCCTTCACTGGTAGATTTAAAGATCTCACTTCCCATCTCATAATTCTAAACTCACCATTACATAATTGAAACAATTTTAAAAGGATAAAGCAAGTTTAAAACTGACCAAACCCTTGAACGATCGAGGTTGATAAACAGACCGTCTTCCTAGAACCAGCTCCCAGGTCACACTGTCAGAGACTGAGACCCGAGAGGAACCACGCACGCACCTCATTGGCTCCACTGAAGAGAGGCTCCCCGGTGTGCATCTCCACCAAGATGCACCCCAGCGACCACATGTCAATCGCAAGGTCATAAGGCATTCCCAGCAGCACCTCTGGAGACCGATAAAAGCGACTCTGAATGTACTGGTATATCTGAAACAGATTTCAGTAACACTTTAATTGGAGTCAACACTGTATAAAGAACACAAGTCTAACATGAACAGAAAAAAAAAAAAATAACTGGGTTATCAGTAATGTTTACTGATTTCAACATTAGACTATGAATATTGTTTTAAAGAACTAAATGTTTCAAGGGAGTGGTAACTCTGACTTGGAAATACAAAATATGCATATATAAAAAATTCAAGCCCTTTATTTATTTCAGTCCTAACTGGTACTCAAGATATATCCTCAAACAATAATGCCTTATTAGAAGAAAATATGATTGAGAACAATTTATTTCCCTAACTACTCTTTGCTGCTGTGGCTACCATTAATTTAACAGCTAAATTATATTTAAATTAACTTAAAGAATGAAATTTCTTCAGGTTAATTCGAAGTGTTAAGAGTCAAACTCAGCACAATATAATTGAAAATTCAGACATCTGTATCGTACTAGTCTCACAGATAAATCTAGAAACACAGCCATGCAAAGATTCAATTGGGGGTTATTTCTGACTAATCACTTCTTTACCCCAGCCTCCCCATCCTAAGACTTCCTAGAAAAAGAAAATCTTGAAATGGATTATTTGCAATGGAATAATCTGAGAATGTCTTCAAAGATCAATTCATCTTCACTTGGCCATTTAAAATTTGTATCCAGAAATATCACGAAAGCAAAGATAGCTTTATTCTAAAAGGGAGAACACCAAACACCACCCTGCTAACTTAAACTGGGCAGCCAGCGGCACCAAGATGCTTTCTCAGAAAGCTGCGGGGGCCCGCCCCAAACTCCAGCTGAACCTGAGAATCAGCTCGGGAGCCCAAGAGCAGGTCCACCCGACTTTAAGGCCTTCTCGAAGTGAAGAAAGTCTAACCGAAAGGGCCCAGGAAGAAGAATTACATCACCAAGTTTTTAGAAGCCAAGAGTACCCTGAAGCCCCAAGACAAGCTACTACTGACACTCTTGTTTCCCAGCTTATGAAAGAATTCTGTCACCTACCTACCCAGTCGGTGATCTGCAGAGCAATAGTGAGGTATCTGCAAGGCTGTACCCTGCTACCTTCTGACACTGAGCCAGCAGACCTGGAGGAAGGCCGCTGCATGTCTATTTTGGAAATGATTTCCCATGGGATTCTGACACATTTATTGGCCAAAAATTTCGCTCAGGTTTTTCCAAGCAATGGAAAAACCTGAATGAACTTTTGGTCAACCCAATAATTAAGAAGCCACTGAGCTAAAGGTATAGTGGTCTCCATCTGGCAGGAGAGAGATAGTAATGTTTGATATTATCAAAGAATATACAACTTGGTTCAAATAGGAAAAAATTTTGCAAGTCTTAAAATCTATTCAAATGACTCAATGTAGGCACATATTTTCCATTTATAATATACTCTATCCCTTATTAACAACTACGAGCATCTCTTTTGATTTTCAGAGGCACTGAAACTGCAAACTCTGCTTCCTATTCCTTCCATTTAAAAAAATTATTTCAATACCATAATTTGCAGGAAGTAACAAAAGGACAATCCTGTTAACTGGTGATAAACCTTTATGATTAAATTAACTTAGTTTATTTAAAAGCTAGAATAAAGTTGGACAAGACTGAAAATTTCACTAATTTGGAAAAACAAGAAATGGAAACCCAATATGAAACACTAATATCTGAAAGTCAGTTATGTTTTTACCTTTAAAAAAAAAAAAAAAAGAAATGCAAGTTCAATACCTACAAGTAAACAAACATTTTAAATAAAGTATTATCAAACAGTGATCCTAGTTGGTTTCAAAAAGAGAACAACCTATAACTTTTGTTTTATATGCAAAACAGAGTAGTTTTCACAATGCTAGAAAGAATAGAAGGAAAAATTTGCTTTCCTATATCCACTAAACCTAAATCTACTTATTGCTATGGACCTGTTTGCTTTTAGCACTCAAAAACATGTTTGTTTAGCACAAACTAGTATGTCCATTGGGCTTCCCTCGTAGCTCAGTTGGTAAAGAATCTGCCTGCAATGCAGGAGACCCAGGTTCGATCCCTGGGTCAGGAAGATCCCCTGGAGAAGAAGATCCCATTCTAGTATTCTTGCCTAGAGAATCCCATGGACAGAGGAGCCTAGCAGACTACAGTCCATGGGGTCACAAGAGTCGGACACAACTTAGCAACTAAACCAAACCAATGTGTCCATTAGCTTGGACACATGTCATAATTTATATCCATCCTGTTTTCTCTCTTTTAGCACACACATAATTGAACATAAACTTTGAAAAACAAATACCTTCTAATTCAAAGTATTACTATCAATGTTTGCATTTTAAAAGGTATTACCCAAAACAGGTATCAACACAGGTAATTCAAGATTTTAAAGATAACAACCCTGTAATTACCTTCAAATTGTATACAGGTTAGTAAGATTTCAGTACCTACTTACACTGTTTTACCAAATTCTAATTTTAAACCACAAGTTCTGCAATATACTTACCCTCTGCCCCAACTGACAAGAACTGCCAAAGTCAACAATCTTGATTGCACTGCGTTTAGGGTTACAAAGAAGGATATTCTCAGGTTTTAGGTCACAGTGAATGATACTAAGTTCTGGAGTCGCAAGGAAAAGCAGTGCAGTGCACATCTGTTGTGCAAACTTTCGTGTTAGGTTCAAGGAGACACCTCGAAAATTGGTGTTCCTCAACAAGTCGTAGAGGTTGTAGGACAGCATTTCAAAAACTAAACAGAGATGGTTTCGAAACATAAAGTGGCGTTTTAAATGCACTGAAAGAGAAAAAAAAATTTTTCCTTTTAAATTATACGTACCCCCCAAAAAATAATAATAACACATACATGAACTCTACAATACTCTATAAAATGCCAATGTCAAATGCAGAGTTTATCAAATTAAAATTGGGAGATGAGCATTCTGCAGTAAGCAGCACATTCTGTCAGCAGTTAAGAATGTCAAAACTGGCCATCTGCTGAATCAATGTACTGTCCAGTGTCCGGCAGTAAGCAGTGTGATGTAAGAAGTCCCACCAGAAGGCCCAAGTCAGGTCTGCAAACACAAGCAGCAAGCTGACACCTCGAATAAGAGTTTTATCCTCACACGTGAGAGAAACCACTGCTGACTCCCAGGGAGCCCTACACCTCAAGGCTCCATCTAAGCTCCACCCACTGGGATGTCCAGCCTGTGGCAACACTGTCCCTGGCAGCCCTCTCTGGGAAGGCTTTGATATATACACACAATCTGCTCTGCTAAGCCTTAGATCTCACCAATAATTTTCTAAAACAACTAATTGTCAAAGGAAGACTTTTTTTCTTTTAGGCAAATACAGCAAAGGCTTTGAAATCATGTTGTAAGGTACTAAGAGTTCATAATCAGGGTATTTGATTATGTTCATCAAACTGGTACATAGGATTCTTATTCAAGATTGAAGCTTTGGGGAAATTTCAAAATAAAGCTCCATCACGAGAAATTACGAGTAGGCTTATTAATGGGGAAAGAGTATAGAAAATATTACTTGGTGTCACTACTGACCTTGTTAAAAGGCTTAATAGTCAATAAACCACTTTGAAAAGCTGTGCTGTTAAGTGTTAATGCTAACTTCACACCAGAAGAGGTCACTGCCCATCTCATGACAGCTCTCACATATACCCAACTGAGCAACTGTAACTCAACTGAAATGACAGAAAACCACCATCTGTCAAGGCTACCTCCATTTTGGCCTTTTGGTATAATTTAAACAGACGTTTCTCTACAGATCTATCTGGAATAACTACGGCATTACTCCGTGTCTGGTCCCTGAGAACAGGCACACACTGCCGCCCCGGTGGTAGACCTGAACGGCCTCCCTAGAAGCTCGCCACTCTTGTTTTTAATCATTCCAGACACGAACGATGGAAAGTCAGGATAAGTAACACAGTACAACTCAACTCTCAGCAACAGTTACAGAAGAATGTCTAATATCTGCTCTTCATCACCGAGCTCACAGGTTTAAAATGAAGAACACAGCTCCATGTTACAGAAGACACCCCCGAAACACGGTGCAAGGAGCAGGTTTGGTCTAATTAAGCAGCAGGCACTGGAGGAGAGCAGAAGGCACCGATGTCAGAACTCAGATGTGACTGTGAAAACCCCTCTAAGAAGCTGTGAGCGGAATGCTCTTCTGATGGAGATCCATTCACTCAGTCCCACTGATTCAGCACCCACTTACTGCGCGTCTCTAAGTGTGCTGAGCACTAAAGACATTGTCAAAGCTCACACACAGATATGTATCTTCCGTTCTTTAAACTGAGCTTCGGGGAAAATGGAGGGTTGGCAAGACTGTTTTAGACATAAACTGAATGCTTTTTTAATTAGACCATGGCAGGTACCAAATAATCCGGATAAGAAATTATGCTATGTGGTAAAAAAGTAGATTTTTTTTTTAAGTTCAAAGACTTAAGACTAAAACTCAGAGTAAATTGATCAAATCATTTCAAAATTAAAGTTATTTACACCATAAAAGAGCAATACAACTTCCAGCCACCTTAAATTTCATGTATTAACTCAACTGACAGGGCTGTGTCTAAAGTTCTCTGTGCTTTTTTCAGTACAGAACCTCAGTTTCTTGAGACACTGTACGTGAGTTCATCATCTTCCTAAGAACCTAAAAACAAAAAAACTCATCCAAGAGTATCTGTAATGATTCCTGCAATCACTAAAGTCAGTTTATTAAAAACAAAAATAATAATTATTATAAGTTAACCAAGTAGCTAACATTCTGTGTTTTCTTTCAATAAAGCAGAAATACATAATTACAGTGATGCTATCAACATTTTCTCTACTATTTAGGCAAAACTTCAAAATAAAACACACAAGAGTGAGGAAAAAGAGAGGAGGTATGTTCAAAGACTGTAAGGCAAGCATCCTTAGAATAGAATGTCCTTCCTAGCCTCCTCAGGCCCTTGAATGGAGAAGTGCCCGCCTCACACTAAGTTCACTGAGAGTGAACAGCAAACACGCAATGAGTGTGAAAAGAAAGGATCTTGAACACAAATGTTATTATTACGGGTTATATCAGATATCTACAAAGACAGTAAGAAAAAAACAGTATAAGCTCGTTTTATTATATCAATGGGGAGTGAAGGGTGTTCCATAAATGAAATCTATCTGAACCATACACCTTTAAACATCAAGTTTTTGTTTCTGTTTCTATTATTTTGGGAGGACCAAGAAACATAACACTCTCTTCATTTCTTAAACAGGACTTTGCTAATAAAACCTAACCTCGTGCTTATCAGGTAAAGCTAGCATTTCTGACATGAGTTGCTAATATACATCTATTTTTTTTTTACTGTCTATAATTAATTGGTCCTAAAGTCTCTATTCATTGTTGCTGAAGCTGAAGCTAAAATGCTTTGGCCAACTGATATGAAGGGCCGACTCACTGGAAAACACCATGATGCTGGGAAAGACAAGGTAAAAGGAGAAGGAGGCGGAAGAAAATGACCAACTCAAAGGACACGAAATTGAGCAAACTCTGTGAGATAGTGGAGGACAGAGGAGCCTGGTGTGCTCCAGTCCATGAGGTCACAAAGAGTCAGACAGGACTTAGCGACTGAACAACAACAAAAGTCTCTATCTTAAAACTAACAGCATCTTGTTTTCACAGTTGGCAGCAATCTGATTCTTAGTGGCACATAAACTAATAGTGGTGTCTGACGATCAGTGGTCTTGATTTGATTAAGAACAGTATTAAAGAATGTATAATTAGAAGATCATGTATCAGTTGTATCCCATGTATCAATTGGCCCTAGACTTCACTAGTTTCATAACTCTTCTGGCTCGTCTTTCCGTACTCAAAAGAAACACGACAGGATAAGGAAACAGACATAAGCTATGAAGTTAGATCAAAGCAGACTAAGATTCTCACTCCAAGAACCCTGCAACCTTGGGTATGTTACTCTTTGTACAAACAACCTGTAATATAAGGATCCTACCATCAATTCCTTCTGTAAAGGACTGCTATGGCTGCACACAATGGAAGAAAAGCATAAGGAACCCAGTAGGAGTTCAAGAAATGTGGGCTATTTCTCAAGAAGAGTCTGACATCTTGGCTCAGACATTCCAAAAATGCTTCTATAACCATTAACAACATAATCTCGCTCACTTCTAATTTCTGAGCTGTACTAGAATGATTAGAGTTAACAGAAAGAGAACTCTCTAGATAAACAAGCATCATTAGAGCAAACAAATGATGCGTGCAAGTTGGAAAACAAAAGATGTGATTCTCATTTGTTTTTACACTACATACACCTGGAATGCACATTTCCAAAGATTTAAAATATTACTGGTAGATTAAGTAACATATATAAATTGATGCCCTCCCAACCGAAACAACTGAATTTTTTATTCAATCACTTTTAAGATAAAATTAACGCATTTTTCATACAAGAATAATCACTAGCTCAAACTGTCTGGGTTAGGGCACACTGTGCCTTGTTTGCCTGTTTACCTATGTAGTATTTCATTTCAGTGTCATGTTTGTTCATGAGCTCAAGAAGTCGCACTTCTATCTGGGCTTGATTCAGAAAAGCCTTCTTGTTCTTTATTATTTTAATGGCAACCCATTCCTGTTCCACACGATCATATGCCTTTACAACCTAAAAAAGAAAAAAAACAAATATTTCATCAATGAACAAATTAATAACAGCTTACAGTTCACCTTAATTGTACATTTATCTAACTCTTTCTCTGACCTTCCTGACTAAGAGAGATCCTACTCATTTCCATTCAGTAGCATCTATTTACTACTTTGTTACTTTAAATCAATTTTTCAAATGGGTTTCTTTCACATCCTTACAGTATTTTTAAACATCCATAAAACAGACGACTTTCTTAAAATTAAGACTATTTTCCTCCTTCAGAAGTAAACTATGAATCTTGACACGTACTTTGGTTTTTTAACTCCTCACTAAATAGCATCGTTAAAACAATTCTTCTATTCTTTTAATTAAAAAAAAAAAAACAGCTGGTTTAAATTCCAAGCATATGTGATATTTAAAAGGTTTTAAGTTATCTGAAAAATGTAGATAACTTTCTAAATTTAAATTATATTCTCACAGATAAAAACTTAAGACATATACCAGAAGAATTAGTTTATGCTTAAAAAAAGTGATAAACAAATTACCAGGAAATAAGTTTAAAATGCTGTAATTAGGGGATTTTGAGTTTTAAAATGAGAATGAATGCTAAGGAAGCGGAACAGTTATGTGCAAATCACTATGCACACCTCTAGTTTAAAATTTTACTCATTTAAAAAACAAATTTATGTGTAAAACAAATTTACACATAAATTAGAAAATACATAGTTTAAAAACTGTATTTCTGCAAAAAGTTAATCTTATGTGTCTTTTAAATCAGAGGGACCCATGGAAACCTCTGACTGAGTGGGTCTGATACTCTTCTGTTTCACTGACCGTGGAGACTGTCCCAGGGGCTGCAGTCCACTGCCCGGATCCTAACGGTCTCCAGGACAAAGGCCACTAACAGGGGCCCAGCTATTCACTGACTTAGCAAATAGTTAACCGGCTCAGTGCTAAAGCAGTGTTTCCAACCCCGAATGACACATTGAGTAGACTGTTTTCAAAAATACCAATGCTCAGAATCCAGTCACAGAGAGTCTGGTTTAACTGTTTGGAGACCAGACACTGTCCTCTCTCCCTACCCCACCCCCTTGACCCCTGAAGTGCTCTGAAGACTTCAACGTGTCGTCAACCAAGACTGACAACTACCGCCTTAAGAAACGTAGGAGCCTCTTCTTTGATGAGGATCTGGTAGAGAATTTAGTCTGACCCAGACAATATGGCAAGCAACATGTCCTGACCCTGAACATACTCCAGCCTAGGAGAAAGGTATCAATCAGTCTGATCTGGTAGACTGGTTTGGATGTCAAAGAAGGCTATGTCGTCACAGGTTTGCTACGCTCATTTGCTCTTAGCAAGCAAGAGTATGGGAAAATGAAAGTCGGGGGGAGGAGGGAGTTCACGGTGAGCTCAAAGACTGGGTACTGAGGGAAACTCGGCTGAGAAGAGGCAGCACGGCCAGTTTTCACAGCGTACGCCGGAGAAGTCAGAGAAGCGTCCTGCAGAGAGGACTGCCTGAACACGGGGTAATTCTGAAGGTGGAGAGGACACTCACTCTACCCAGGGTGTTCACAGCCTTACTTAAAAGGCAGGCCTCAGAAACGCCTGTCATTAAACGGCTTGGGTAGAGAAAGCAGAAGTTGCTTCTGCCACAGTGTGAAAAGTGAAAGAAATGGCGTCCCTGGTGGCTCAGATGGTAAAGAACACACCTGCCAATGCAGGAGACCCAGGTCTGATCCCTGGGTCGGGAAGAAGGGAGCAGCCAGGAACTCTGGAGAAGGGAATGGCTGCCCACTCCAGTATTCGTGCCTGGAGAATCCCATGGACAGAGGGGCCTGGTGGGCTATATATAGTCCATGGGGTCGCAATACTTTTATAAAGAGGGACTCCCCAGACACTGAGAATCCTGACTCAGGAGAAGAGGTTACTCATCAAGAGGAAAGGCCCCAAACTATGTATAATTATATAAAGTCTCTGGAATCATGGAAAATGACAAGACATGTTAGACACACAACATTGGGGCCTGGAAGAGCCACACCAGAATTACAAGGTCTTCTAAGAACTTCATTCCCATTTCCCTATGGGTCTGAGCTTGATCTGTCTTGGCCCAGAGCTGCTGGGCTAATAGCGGCTAATAGTTGATAGTATACTTTCTGCCCTAAGAATAATTAGAGTAACACGTGCTGAATTTTTCCTCACTGGTTGAAAAGAGGCATGTTTTTGCTTTCCTGCAGGGCAGGAACAGATAAGTAAGAGTATGCAGGTTCCCTAGTTTAAAAAAAAAAAAAAAAAAGATCTCCAAAACCCCCAAAAAAAAAAAAAAAAATCACCAAAAAAGTAAAAGTAATTATTTGGATTGCAAATTAGTAACTGACTCACTGCACAAAAGCTACAAGGTGAAGGAGACTGGAATTAACAGGAAATCATACCTCAAACCAAACAGCTCTGTGACTTGACATGGGATGAGTAAGATACGGAGACTTACAGGTGGAAACAGCTGGGAGACTCACAGCCAGAGAAAAGCTTTTTAAGAGGCCAAGGAGGAAGGTCTGGCAGCTCTGATTCTGGGCACAGGTCATACAAGAGGCTAACACAGTTAGGGTCTGTGCTTCGTCCTGGGCAAGTGAGAGACGAGAGCCACAGGCAGAGAAAAGAGGCCAGAACGAAGAGAAACACTAGGCCCGCTGGAGCGCCTCCCTCGCTCTTCCAGGTGAAAGCTACCTGAAGGATCCCACCCATTGGAATGATACCCGTCATAGTACTAGCAATGCTGATGCCATGAGGACTTAACAGGAGACCCTCTGTCCACTCAGAGAGGCCTGATGGCACTGGAGGAGGCGCTGAGGACAGGCTCGGGGCCCAGCCCTGGGAGTCCAAGTCTCCAAGGTGAGGGGACACCTGCTGAGGCAGCTGAAAATAGTCATTTCCCCCTTTGAAGGAGGAGTGTCAGGCAGGAAGGTAATTATCTCCAGCATACACCATGAAGAACCATCCAGAGGCTAAAAGCCCAGTGAAAGAGGCAATACTACCTGTTAGTGATTCAAATCAATCATTTAGTAAAATAACTACTTGGTAGCTATAGTAACTTTGTGAAACAAAAAAAAAGGGGGGGTTTTTATAGCTGATGCAGCTGATAAAGTTTTACTAACTTTAGAGAACTATAATAACCCAAATACTTACATATCTGTTCTTTGTTATCTATTTACAAATATTAGGAGTGTACTACTGAGAAAAGGCTATAACAACATGCCTCTGAGAAGTTCTCATTTATAAAATTCAGCAACTTCTGTTAGATTACCTGTCCAAAGGAACCTTTGCCTATTAAGGAGTCAATTTCGTAACGATCCATCCACTTTTCTCCGTTTTTTACAATATAATCATAGTTATCATCATCATAACCATCATTGTAAACCTTCCTCTCCTTCTTATGACTAGAGTCGTCTCCCTGGCCCTGTTGGTGTCTTCGCTTCTTTTTTGCATAGTAAACCTGAAATGAGAAAATGTAGTGTTAATTGTGTAATTAAAAATTATGAGGCATGGGGTGGCACCATAAATATACATATATATCAAGGGTACATATGAGACAAATCTGCCATCAGTAAGAAATTGAAGAATTTTTATTCTATATAACCAAAAAAATGAAATAAATTTCTATAGTTGCTATTTGAATTACAGAATAACACTAATATACATCAAATGAAAAACATCTACAGAGAAATTCACTTTAGAATTATACTGTTCATATGTTTTATAAATAAGAGATATTAAGTGAGTAGGCCAGAGTCTCCCACTCAAGAAAAGCAACAGGACCTGATTTACATTTATGTTTTAAACTAAGGTATAATTTACATACAGTGAGCTGGTATAGATCATAAGAGTGTATAATATAAAGGACTTGGGGGAAATGTATGTGCTGATGTAAACAACAAATGCTAAACAAAATAAAGAACAATTTCATCCTCCTAACATTCAACTCCTCTTGCGCCTCCTTCTAAGTCAACCCTAATTTTATATTTGATCCTAAAGCAAAAGATTTCAGAAATGAAAGTTGAAAGGTTATATGAACTGGTATTTTACTAAAAAGGGCCCCTGAGATAGGCCCGGCTTTAAGCTTTTAACAACAAATTAACGAAAACCAGTCAGCTCCCCTCCCCCCACAGTAAAGGTCATAGAAGTTGTGGTTGGTCACAGATTGAGTTGTTTTCCTTCTATCTGTTTTGCTTATAAAACAGATCTAAGACTAGCAAAAAAAAATAATACGTGGACTAGGCAATAGTTCTAGTAGTTGGTAATTAACGAGGCAATAGTTCAAGTAATTGGTAACTAACTTTGAGGAAATGACATATTACACTGCATAAAGCAACATCAGAAAAACTAGTTTAAAAGGTAACAAAACAGTTAAAAACAAGCTTTAACAAAGCTACTCAACAGTATTACTTTATCAGATTATTTTCAGATGACCAGAAACTAGTTTGAAACATCTTTAGAACATATAAATTGTAAACAAAATCCAACTTAGAAATGTTCCTCATTGAGTTCACTTCAATTTTATCTTGCCACATTGCCACAATAATACTGGCTTTAAACAGCACCAAACTGCTAAGAAATTTATACACACATAAGAACATGTTTTTAAATGTTTCTCAAGCTGGTAGAAGATAAGTCCTTAATGTGGAAGTATGTAGGGACCCACTGGAAGACGAGAGACAGCACAGGCATGGCCACCCACTTCCAGAGAAGCTCCTTTACCAATTCATTACCCAGCTAGAGTTGACGTTAGGAGCAAATGACAACCAAGCCAAAGGGCTAAAACACCAGAAAAATGATTTCTGAAAGTGAAGAGTCAAGTTGGAAGATGAGTAATTCACAGTGCTATGTTTTTTATCCTACTTAATCCCGCCAAAAAGGCTTTCAGGTATCTTACAATGAAAAGATACAGATAAAAAAGAACACACATTAAAAAGAAACTTTAAAACCACATAAATATAGATACTATCAGATAAATTAGGCCAAATGCCTGTTAACTGAGCATTAAACACATCTCAGAGCTTCCTGATATCCTGGCAAAAGCAGAAACAGATATGTAAAAATTTAAGCAAAATTCTGTAACATTTTCATATTTTTACATTATCATTATTCCCTCCCTTTCCTCTGAGGTTTTGGAGAAGGGGTATTACAGAAATGACAACTCAGCGTGTATTAAATATAACTTTGAGAAAGAAGGGAAGCTATCCACAGTTATCTTTTTACAGTTCTTGTTTATATAGCATCTTTCTTTTACTTAATTATGATGCTTTTATCCATAAACCGCTAACTTACCAGTCTTCATAATAATCATCAATATGACAATCCTTGGGAATTAAAAGCAATTCTAGCATGTTTAAACACACTACAAAATAACTCGTTTCTTCACTCTATGGCAAGATAGACGCCATTGTAACAAATCAATAGTTCTTACCTCATTAATATGCTTGTAAGTTTTGATCAAGTCAACAGAAAGTTTTCTCAGGGGAGCAGTAGCTGGGTCACGGAAGGTTTGGGGCATCCGCCTCTGTAACATGACAACATCAGGCATCACCTTAAATAGACAGAGAAGACTACCACTTTAACTACACTGTGCTGGTGTGAACCCCCTCTTCTGCAGCCTGCGCACACGGGTTTAAAGCAAAGCAGACATCCACATTACAATAGGGAGCATTCTCCCTTGGTCATCTCTTTCAACCGGAATCCATTGAAGACAATCACTGGAACAAATAAATGAAATTAGCAGACAATATGCCCAGCTGTCAACCCTTCAATTTTGTTCCCCAAATTAAACGAGAGGATTACAGAAACACCCCTGGTCCAGGAGACAAGCAAGAGGATGGCCAAGAGAGCTTCTCCACCGTACAATCAGCCTAAGGGAAAATTTCCTCTGAATGGCTCCTCCAGCCTGACCTGGCTCACAAGAGGCAGACAGACCCCGTGCTCTGCGCAGTGCCTGCCGGGAGCACAGCTGAAATCTGCTCTCGTGTCTTCAGGCTGACCGAGGAGCCCCACCCTCTGCCTTAACACATCCAACTCCCCCTCCACACCCCCTCTGCCCACCCTGCACAGCACCTGCCACCACCTGACATCATGAAATGTGGGTACTGGGTTATTGGTTTTAGTTTTTCCTCCTCCTTCCACTACTGGGAAAATGCCATATGGGGCAGATATATCTGTCCCGTGCTGTAATCCTGCTGCCTACAGCAGGAGTAGACATACTGTTTGAAACACAGTAGACCTTTAATAAATGTGTGTTGAATAAACAAGAGAATCCATAATACCAATATCCTTATCTACAATTACACTAGCAGCTGACCACATAAGTTCCAGAGAACACCTTAAAGCTAATGAAACTTTCTTTTTAAAAACTCATTTCAACCACACTCCAACCCAAAGCTAACCCACGGTCTCTTTCATCATCCAATATGCAGTCCGAGTTCAACTGCGAGCTTCCTGCTAGATAGGGGATGGAACAGGAAACACAAACATCCTCCAAACACAAACACAACACCCCCAGGAATACTGCAACCAGCACAGCAGCAGTCCCAGAGGGTGTGCTCACCTACTCTCTGCCTCGTCTCAAGCCTCAGCAGAGGTGTTCCCAGAGGGCCTTCCGCAGCCAACAGACCCTCCAAGGCAATTACAGACCTCAAGGTGCCCTCGGTCACCGCCGCCAGTCACCCTGGGCTGCTGTCCAGCTCTCGTAACAGACATACTAGCAAAACTACCGAGTCCTGGGACGGCCTCTTTCAAAGGCACCCTAGTCAGCCGGAGGGGTAGCCACGAGACATCACACAAAGGCCTCAGAGTGTGTCTGCAGTCTCGGGAAAACAAACCCACAATAAGCAAACAGAGAGAAGAGGGCTGTCAGGACAGAACAGGAAAAAACCCCATCCCTGCGGTATGAAGAGACGGTGTGATGGTAGTGCTTACCTAGCTATACTTCCTCTCTCTCTTTTTTCTTTCTATGAAAGAAGTGGAAATTTTGAGCCAAATTTGAGGATTACAACCTGGGAACAACAACTTGAGACAACAGAACTGTTCTGCCTCTGTAGCTTCTCTTAAACCATTATTAACATCAGTTTCCTCTGCATCTATACTCAAACCCTAAAAAGTTTTCTGCACTCAGTATGTGAGTGTGTGCTATGGGCTTACCATATCACAAAACACTGCTCTCCTCTTCTCCAACTAGCCAAACTGCCAACAAGGCCAAACCAATTAGCTAATTCTAAATACCTTAATATTATGTACTCTGGCCACAGAAGTTACTATTTCAGGGGCATCTGTAGGTATAAACCAGATGAATTCCACCCACAAAAAACTGGCCTTTAGATAAGATTGCATTTCAGTGCTTCAGATGGTGCGTTGTACAGAGGAGGCACTCAAAATAAATGGAAAAAACAAATTCATTTCTACAAACTAAACAACTCTTTCTTCGCTAGCTTTCATTGTAATTTCATGTTAAGTAACTCTATCTTCTGTTTTTCACTGTTGTGGTACAATAAGCACCAATCCAGAATTAGAAAATAACTTGTCCAAATACACATTCAGTTTAAATCTATACTAAGACTCAAAGCATCTGATGCTTTATCCGCTTCCACCTTCTCACAGTCACAAGGTCAGGAGATGGTAACGTGGCCAGCACCCTTCCTCCTTTCCACTGCTGGGCAAAAGCCTGCGGTGTACAGAGGAGCCAGGAGCCCCAGCCTCCACGCCGCCCCAGCGTCCTCACTGAACAGGGAAGCTGTGAGCTCCCCGCCCGCGGCCACAGCTCTCTGGCTCTGGAGGCCCAAAGAAGCCTCATCCCAACACTCCTGTCTGTGTGAAGACACAGATCACACTCTCTCACAGACACACACAAAGCAGGAGTTCTCACCTCCTGCGAGCTACGTTACAAGAGCTAAAACAACCTTCTTCCTTGAGAAATGTCCACAGTGTTAAGTGCCAGGACTTCATTTAAAACTGATTTCTAGTTTAATAATACCTATTCCATCTATTTTCTTTACGTTTCCCTTGTATTTTCATACGTAGTGGAGAATGAGAAAAGCTATGTCCTGCCTTTTTTACTATTCTGAGAGCTATTAATAAACCTGAATAACATATGTAAGACATATCCAGAATACACAGTTTAAGAACCATGAAAGGTACTCTGAAAACTGTAACAGCCCAGAGAGAGACAGTATTCTGAACATCAATCATACTTGTCTACATTTACTTTTACTACATTTATCTTTTCATTGAAACTGTGGTTAAACTTATATGAAACAAACTCACACACGAAAGACTAATTACCAGAAACAAAAGGTTAAGTTAGTTCCTTTCAACTCACTTGTACAATAAATCTTATTTAAAAAGCACCGATAGGATGATTAGTAAGAAACGTTGGATATCAAGTAACAAAATCAAAGAAACTTAGAGCCAGAAAATACTCTGGTGGGTCTAGTCTAAGGTCCTAATCTTACATTCAAGGAACCAAGAGAAGGTTCCAGGTGACCTGACTCAAGTCCCTCATCCAGCTCATGACAAGACTTGAAGTCCATGTCTGATGACCGGCAGACCATGCCATGTCAGTGCCTTTACACTTCAGTTACCAAATAAGCTTTTAATTTGACTGCCTTTTAGGTTCCCGGATTTCTGGAGTTTGGCAGAAGTATCTGGCTGAATATTATTACTTAAAAGATGGTCTTTTTCACATCATATGAATCTTCAAAAACATTTTACAACTTAAAATGGAAATGCTAAGTAACTTATCTCTTACTGGAAAATAACCCTCAAGATGTCGGTTTTGTCTAAAAATAGGTACTTTGCTAACTAAATTACCGACTACAATCATATAAACATAAACAATAACTTTAAAGGACTGGATGTTTCCCCTAGCCCTCCACAGACGCCAAGTGTTAGAACTGAAAGCGCACTGCATGTGAGAGGCAGCGAGCCTGGGCTGGGCCCAGGACTGCCTGTGTACAGTCCGGAGAAGGCGCCGATGAGCGTTCAGGCCCTTCAGCTGTCAAACAGACTGAAAACAGGACGCCTGCCTGATAGGCTGATTTTGAGCAAGCGGGAAAATGAATCCAAACGTACTTTGTTTCTTGAAAGTACAGTGCGAACACATGACTGCTATTACTACTTTTTGGGTGTCCAGAGAATATAGGTACACGCAACACTTTCCAATTTTGACCAACTGCTCCAAATTCTTAAACATACAACACCTCAATTTATTGTATAAAACAAATTCTTACGTCCTGCCATAATTTACCTTACTATTTAACTGTGACTGTTATTATTCATATGCAATATCATTTTATAAATGTAAAGTCAGTTCAACTATGATCAAATCTTACTATAATATATACAAGGGGGTCCTCAAATAGATGGTACTTAGATGGATCTATTCTAAGGTCCCAATCTTACACTCAAGCAACAGAGAGGCAGGTCCCAGGGACCTGACTCGAGTCCCACAGCCAGATCACGAGTCAGGACCTGAAGTCCATGTCTCATGACCAGCAGGCCACACCATATCAATGCACGGTAGCCAACAGCTCATTAAAACTATGTATTAATGAATTAGAAAAAAACACATGTCCTCCAAAAATCCAGTATTGGAAGTACTTTGAAATTTTCTAAGTTGTTCATATTAATAGACCTAAACACTGACAAACCAAATTCCTAAGAACATAGAAAAACAGTCATTTTCAACACGCAGCACACATACAGTCTCAGTAGGGAAAGAGACTTTACCAGAACTATAGCTAGTTTAAAAAAAAAATCTCCCCAAATCAAAAATCAACATAGTAGATGCAATTAGTTCAGGAAGATATTAAAAATACACACTTATACACACATGCATGTATGTATATACATCCAGAGATGTCAGCATTAATTCAATTTACACTATCTACCTTGTGTGAAATCACTGAATCTTTAAAATGAGAAGCATGGTTAATTTACATTTTTTCTTTTTAATTTTAATGAGTTTCATATTTAATTCTATAAAAGTGTACTAAAGTAATTTCTAACAGTGTGAAGTCAGTGCTTTAAGTTTGCTATAATGGAATCTGACTTGTTTTCCTATAACTTACATTTTTATACCTAACTGCTTTCCCATAAACAGCTTTGAAGTTTTTAAATTTTAACTAATATTCTTTATTAGAAATAACTCCCCCCTCCGCCTCACTGCAGAATGAGAAAATGTGAATTAAAGTAAAATACATAGGATAAAAGAAAAAATCCAACAAAATTTCAAATGCAAATTTCTTAACATCATCTTTTGTCAATCTGGAATCCCCCCGTCACATGAAAAACTGAAAAACATTAAGGCATTTTGCCTATTTACTATTTTACCATTTTGAGGAATAAATTACCATCCCAACAAATCATTAGGAATACATCGTGAACATACCTGGTTAGTTAGAGGTTGCTGAATCTGGTCAGAATAAGATAAGGCAGAAACCTGTTGGTCACTTATGTTTGGCTGGCGACGGTCACTGTACTGATGTGAATGGGGCATCTGTCCAGCCATCTGAAGGCCAGCAGCATGGAATGAAAATGACGGTGCAAGCCGAACAGATGAAGGTTTGCATGCTGAAGTCTCTCCTCCTGTGAGAAGATAAGAAGTGTGGTTTAAAGGATGCATTCATCTCCTGACGTTTCTATCTTCTGACCTATCTGATAACTCTTTAAATAAAAGCCCTTCAAACTGCAAACAAGGATTTGATACTCAACGTAACTGCTGTAACAATAAATGGTACAAAACATAACACAGGTTAAAAAGAGTATATATAAGGCTGTTTTAAGAGAAAACCTTAAGCAGATCTTTTTGTAAACTAGTGGAAATAACCTTTAATGCTTCCTTTTACATATTACATCTTTATCAGTTAAGAACCATAAATTGCAAAAGTAATCTCTGAACTCCTACAAAGGGCCTGACCAATAAGCCAGCTCTTTAGAAATCAATTCAAAGGAGCACTGCTGAGAGTCTGCTCTGCACCTGCCAGGTGTACGGCCATCAATAACCAACACCCCCCCAAACCAGGTGAAAAACTTGTCCTGGTGGTGCTCACCACTGACACCGGTAATTAAAAGTTGAGTACACAACTCATGGAAACAACGTCACAGGCTGCTGTATTCCTCTGACCCTTCTGACACAGTCCTTAGAGAACCCAGACCAGGCAAGCCTGCCAGAAAAGTGCACAATCGAGAATCATCCCGCAGGCAGGCTGGGACCATGGTCGTGATTTTTCACGGCAGAAAAGAAAAATGAACATTTTGTTCCTACAAGTATTTGGCAGCTAACTAATAATAGTTAATTTTTCTTTAGGAAAAGAGAGAGACGTTTCTTCTTATATTCAACCAAATCTGCAATCAGACACTAAAGCCAGGAGACTAACTGAAAAACCCTGGCCAGCCAACATTGCCCCAGCATGCCTGTGCTCGTCTTCCTGAGCAGATGAGCAAACTCTGAGCACACTGCACGCCACGCTGCTCAGCGCCGGGTACTTTTCCTAAAGCCGGCGTGTTCCGAAACACACAGTGGCGCTGGCCCCAAAGTAAAGAGCCCAGATTCCTGGCCGGGCTGCTGCAGTCGGAAACCTCAGCTTCACACTCACCAGCTGTGTGACCCTGCACACCTGATTTCCTGATAATGATATCTACCTCCACCAGTTGTGGTGAAGGTGAAAGTGCTTTAATACATGGAAAGTACTGGGCTGGCCCAAATAGTCTTTTAATTTTTAAGTACTGACTATATCCTATGTAAGTACTAAACATATCCTATGTTGAGTATTGAATATATCCTACACAGCAAACACCACTGTCTTCCACCCAGTCAACCAGCGTCAAAGCTCTGGGAGTCACAGTAGAGATCCCTTCCTCCTCATGCAAACGGCAGCCCGATCCTGCTGACTGTGCCTCCTATGAAAAGTCAAAGTGAAAAGTGTTACTCGCTCAGTCGTGTCTGACTCTTTTTGTGACCCCACAGGCTATAGCCCGCCAGGCTCTTCTGTCCATGGGATTTCCCAGGCACAAATACTGGAGCGGGTTGCCATTTCTTTCTCCAGGGCATGTTCCTGACCCAGGGATTGAGCCTGGGTCTCCCACACTGCAGGCGGATTCTTCACTGCCTGAGCCACAAGGCAGAAGTAGCTCCTATAGAACACTCACCTCTTCTTTCCATCCCCTTACTCGGCACCTCACTTAGATGACTGAAGTAGATTCTGAGTAGCTCTCTCTTTGCCCATGTGCAACCCTCTTATTTCTTCAATCAGATGGCTAGAGGGACCATTTCTACAGGGTAAACCTCAAATCTGCAACCCCTACTTAGCACCGCTTTTAGATCTTAGCTTCCATCTCCCTCCATTACAGCATACAGTTCTTAACTGACCCAAAGTGTATGATTAATAAATATCTGCTGAATAGTTAAGGATAATGTTCCTATGATGACAGGTGGAATAATTTCTCTAAACATGTCATTACTCATAATTAAAAAATAAATCCAATTATGCAGAGCAACTTTGTTCACTTAAAAAAACTTTTTTTCCTAAGGAAGTTACAGATGATGTGCACAAAAATCATTAGGGAAGAATGTTTATCTTGGTATCATTTGCAACAGTAAAAAACTGGAAACCTAAATGTCAAATAATTGGAAGGGAGGTTAAATCTGCATGTTAAAAACATGAAACACTAGGAAGGAATATATTTATATGAATATGAAAAGAACTGAGGACCGTGGTCTAGAAAAAACTCTTATAAATAAATAGCAAACAGACTATAAGGCTCTAAATGACAATTTACCACTCTGGGTCCTAGTTTCCCCACCTACAGCAGCGGAATTATTTAATATACTAACCCTGTTCCTTTAGGTTTGGTACAAATTTAAACGCAATACCACAAGCAGATGTGCAAAATAGAACCTGGTAGGTAACAAGCATTAAAAAAAAAAATACTAGCTTCTGTTTCTATCATCAATGTCATTATTACATATTGTATTTAAACTTATTTTTTATAACATATAGAAAAATCATCAGTATACAGCTTAATCAATCATCATTAGTTGGTTAACCAACCTTGTCCTGTGAGGACAGGAAAAATAAAAACTGCCTCATTCCGGAAATACCCAATACCACCATGTGATCCCTCCCAATCAGCATCTAATGACCTCGTCCCCTAAAGTCACCACCACCGTGACCTCCAAAAACAGACTCATTTTCATTTTATATACATGAATTTGCTTAATATTAGGTTTATAAACTGTATACACTTAAAAACTTGTTTGTTATCATTACTTTACCCTACTTTTGATTAACACTGAATGGCTTCCAGTTTCTAGGTGACTCAATAGGTAAAGAATCCACCTGCAATGCAGAAGACACAGGAGACACAGATTTGATCCCCAGGTCAGGAAGACCCTCTAGAGGAGGGCACAAGCGAGCCGCTCCAGTATTCTTGCCTGGAGAATCCCCATGGACAGAGGAGCCTGGCGGGCTATAGTCCATGGGGTCTCAGAGCTGGGCACAACTGCTTGATGCAACTTAGCACGCATGTTTCCACTTCAGAGCTATTATGAACACTGCTACTAGGAAGTGACTGCTTTTTGGTATATAAAGATGTTGTCCTGTTGGCTTTTTCTTCAGTTTTTGTTTAATCAATGTTTTTTCCCTAGCAGTTAATGAAAATTCCCTCTGCCCTACTCCTTCACTAACACTTGGAATCATCAGTATTTCTAATTTCAGCCGTGAAAATAAGTGTGTATTCCACTGTGATCTTAATGTGCATTTTCCTCCTGCCTATGAGCATCTTTTCATTTATTAATCACTTGGATATCCACTTACGTGCAAAGCCCATTCAGATTGCTTTTTGATTTTTCTATCGAGAGTCATTTTCTTACAGATTTCTAAAATTTTTAAAAGTTACATTTTTAACACAGTTTGGCTATAAGCCCCTTATCGGCTAGCTATAGGTGGTTTATACTGTCTCTCTCTTAATGGAATTTCTTGATGAACACCATCTCTTATTATTAGCAACTTTTGGTTTAAAATTAGTATGTCTGGGGTCTAAGTAATCTTTCCTTATACCAAAGTCATGAAGAAATTCCATGTTATCTTCAAGAAGTCGAGTTTTACCCCTCAAATCTAGAGATGTGCAATGCTCTTGGATCTGATTTCTATGAGTTTGCAATAAGCAATCAACTTGCATTCCCTCCCCAATGGATATCCAATTAACCCAGAACCAATGATTAAAAACAAACTTTCCCAATGCCCTGTAATGTCAACTTTTCTTAAATCACATACTCATACATGTTTGATGTGTTTTGGATTCTTTGTTTTGTTCTGCTGGATAAAGACTTACCTAGAATTCTTACATCCAATGTGTAAGAACCAGAGATTGCCTAAATCATGGTAGCTTCAGAAGTTTTAATATCTGGCAGAGAATTCTGTTCTTCTTTAAGAATGTTTAGGCTATTCTTAGCCCTTTGTGTGTCTATGTTTTCAAGTTAGTTAATCAAATTCACCAAAACAAACTCATGCTGGTGTTTTGGTTGACACTGCATCGTAGAAGAGCGCTCTGTACAGTAGTCACAGTCCCTTCACCTAAGACTGGTTAAGAAGGTCTTTTCTTTCTTCTCTGTGATCAGTCTAATCAAAGGTTCACTAATTCTGTTAAGTATGTTCTTTTACATGTATTTTCTAATTTGCACACATCTTGTTCTATCAGTTAGCAAGAGTATTAAAAATCTCCCATTTAGATTATGTATTGGATCACATAAATTTAAAGTCGTTACACCTTCCTGAAGAATAAGGCCTTTTAACATTATAAGCTGCCCCTCTCTGCTTCCAGCAATGCTTTCCACCTTGTCTGATATGACAATAGTATGACACAACAAGCCTTCTCTTCATCTGTGCGCGCTGTCTTTTGTCCATCTTTTTACTTTCAACCCATTTCCTTACATTTTAGGCATGTTTCCTGTCAACAGGCTTCCCTGGTGGCTTGGCCTGCAACGTGGAAGATCCCTGAGCTGGGAAGATTCCCTGGAGAAGGGAAAGGCTACTCACCCCAGTATTCTGGCCTGGAGAATTCCATGGACTGTACAGCCCATGGGGTCACAAAGAGTCAACACACCTGAGTGACTTTCACTCTTCTTGTCAACAGTGTGCAGTTAAGATCTGATTCATGTATGAACACCAATAATTTATTCATTCCAACAATTTATGTCTCTGTCTCACTCTCTGCTGGATTACGCTATGCGCCTTCCTTGCGTGAAGGTTTTTTTAGCTATCTCCTAACACTGGGTACCCCCAGGTGGTACTAGTGGTAACAACGTGCCCGCCAATGCAGGAGACTTATAGAGACCAGGGTTTGATCCCTGGGTTGGGAAGATCCCCTGCAGAAGGAAATGGCAACCCACTCCAGTATACTTGCCTGGAGAACCCTCCGGACAGAGGAATCTGGTGTGCTACAATCCATGGGGTCGCAAAAGGTGAGACCTGACAGTCTGGATTATATATCCGTGACCCATCAAAATCTGATTACTCCTTTACTTCCACAAACTATTGTTGACTTGTGTATGCACACACACACACTCACAAGACAGCAACTGATCG